AAATGATCTAGAAATAAGACGTTTGTTAAAGTCAAGTGTATTTACCCTTAATTTGAGTAAGTAAATAAGATGATTTACCAATGCAATGAGTATTTTTATTCTAAAATAGCAATATATAATGTGCACTTGAAATAAGACAATGCAATTGTTTTTTGGTTTTTTTTTTATTTAAAATTTATTCTTCTATTGGCAAGGTATCTCATTTACCTGCTGAATTCAATAAAGAATGCACTTATTTCAGGAAAAAATGACTTATTTATATTTAGATTTTTTTTTTCATTAAGTGAAGGCCATAATCTGCCTCTTGTACTCTTGTGTCTTCATGGACAGTCAGTCAGATCCTCTTGTTCAATGCAAGGGTTTCTTTTTGGGAGATGTATCACCTTATCTTTTTGGTCCCGACTATCCCGTTATTTAAAATTTTGGTCCCACTTACCCATGATTAAAAAAAAAGTGACTTTGTTCAACATCTGCAGCAATGGAGCATTGCAAGTTGTTCCTAGCATGCTCAGAGCGATTTTGTCTTTGCCATCAGTGTCATGATAGGAAACCTCGCAGAGAGCTTTTCGTACAGATTCTTAATATCTTAGAATATTATCTTTCGATTTTTAGCAGCCAATTTTTAAGGTTGCAATTTTTTGAGGCCCATTGATTGTCTCTTGCTCCATTTTTTTTCTCTTGTTCCTGGGTTTTGATTAGGATTGTTTTAGATTAAACACTGATGTGTTGCTTCAACGTGGAGTTTTGTGTCGATGTTATGCTCAGCCTGCTGGAGGGAGCAAAGCAAAGGCAGCGAGGTGGGCAGGGAGGGAAGTGAAGGTGGGGTGTTGAGAGTGTGAGGGGAAGAGGAGATGGAGGAAGAAGGGAGGATGCAGCGCTCAAAGCAGCAGAGCAGCAGGTTGCTATAACAACAGCACCTTGGTTCCCTCCATCTCTCTGCTCCTCCTCTCTGATCACCCTCTCATCATTTGCTCCCTGCTGTCATTCGGTGCGATATGCCTCTCCATCAAGCCACCTATCCTACTCCTCCATCCCCCCTACCCCTATCAAAACTCCCCATTTCCTCTGCTTCATCTTTATGTTCTGGTTGCTCCTTTGCTCAGTGAAAAAAACAAAACAACAGAAAGACCATCTGCCTACAAATAAATCCCCTTTTCCTCCCCGTGTGTCTGTCAGATTCACCTTTGTCTCGGTGTGTTGTCGTCATTCGCCGCGCGTCGCGGTTAGCAGGCAGAAGAGCAGTCAGCAGGTGTTTGTGTCAAAGAAAACACACAGGAGGGAAAATAAGCGGCGATCGCTCCTGTCTTTGCTCTTTTACATCCTCTTGTCCTTTTCTCTGTCATGCTCTTTTTCTTTGTTCCTCTCTACCTCCACTAAAGCGCTGCACATCCAACAAACTCCCTCAGAGTTCTATCCTCTGAATCCAAGTAGTTTTTTTTTCTATTCTAACATATTGCATTAAATAAAGCTTTAAACAAATAAAAATATTGTAGCAGCCAATTCACAGGATACAACCGGTTTCTTGGAGTTGCTTTTTGAGTTGTAATCATGGAGGTAACTGCACTAAAATAAATGTTTAATTAATTATTTATTAGAAGGTATTTGTTGTAGTTTTGTCATTCATCCCATCGTGCTCCTTCCAGCTGTTTCACACCGACAGAACCCCCGATCCTTCTGTTTTTTCTTTTTTTTTATGCCATTCTGTCAAAGCAATCTGCATTATACCAACAGGGTTAAATGGATAATGTTGTTTTGTTTGTAGGTGGATGTGCATGCTTGCGTCCGTGCGGAGGGTGCCGCGGCTCACGCTACCTGGATAATTGTGGGAGTTTTTATAGGTTGGCTTTGAAAGGCGAGCCTGTAATTATCAACGTGAGTCACTGGCATTTAGGGAAAACCTGAAACGCTCACACCTGTGTTCAGAAGACCTGAATTATTTAAACCCATTGATTACAGCCACATACATTAAGCAGGAGAGGGAATGGTTTTTGTTCGGTTTCTTTGGTCTTTTCAGCAGCAGCCAGAAATCCACACATATCTACCGCTTAGTGGATATGTGTGGATGTGTGAGGATACTCCTCCCAATTAATGCTTGGACCCAGCTTGAAAAGGATACAGGATTACAGATGTTAAAAACTAGATTGTTTTCTGTGTTCATGCAGGGTATGACAACAACAAAAAAAAAAAAAAAACTGGGATTTAACCCAAATAAGTAAGGTTCAGACCCTCCCAAAAAGTCATAAAAAATTAAGTTTTTAAAATTTTACATTTAGAGCATAATTAAACATTGATTTAGAATTTCCAAATGGAAATTAGATGTTTTTACCCATTGCACCACAATACATGTGAAGAGATGCTTTTCTGCATTTTCGACCTGAGAGAATCGTTGACCCAGTCTTAGGACAGCCGTCGGTTAACACCATTTCCTCTATAAGTAAATGGAGAGCACAAGAAAGGTGAAATTGGAATATTAGTTTTTTTTCAATGCAGCCTTTTGTTATATTTGAGGCTTTAAGTTTGCCTAATCAATGAAAATGTCCTATTGAATACTTTAAATTTGTGTAAACATACAGTAATCCAAGTCTGTTGTTGTAAATTATCTCCTGGTATTTTAGCCTGCTTTTAAAATCTTAACCCTACCCCCCATTATTGTTGCTGTATAAATCACTCCATGCCTCACAGGCTGGAGTTTTTCCTGTCGATACTAAAAGCGTTTATCATTTCATTGCGATAATTAGGCTAACTGCCAATCAATGTGCAGAATATGAGGAGGAAACCACCTCCAGCAGCCCCGCATCACTCTTGCACTTACGTCTACTCTCAGAAAATCAAGAAAAGGAATGTTTTTTTCATGGTGTGTGTTTCTGCCAGCTTGAACGGGTCCACCTCCAGGTCAGAATACAATCTGAATATATTTCATCTGCTGTTCTGTCTGAATAACAAAGAGCTAAGTGTGTATTTGCACACATACATGTACCACATGAGCACCCTGTGTGTCTTTGACTCTTCCACATGTGACAGCTGAGAGTGTGGATTTTGCTAAATATTTTTCCTGCTTCTGAGCGGCTTTGTTTTACAGCTGCCTGTTTCAAATGTAGATGAGCATGATGGATGCCACTTGTGAGATGCTGTTAACAATGTAGATGCATTTGTGCTTTTTACCTGTGTGTGTGTGTGTGTGTGGTGGGGTTAAAAGGTGTAATGGATTGAAGTCTTAGCAGATGTGTAGAGTTTGCTTCCAAGTCGTCTTATACAGATTTTGCTTCCACTACTTTTATGGTCTTATTTTTGACTAAATTTTGCTTTATTAATATTATATGTATATAATAGGATGAGGTTGCAAATCATCAATTTTGAATTAATTTGATTGCTCTTATTGATCAGCTAGCAATTAATTAATATGTTTTCTTAAAAACCTCTCGTATTAAGAGGTTTATTTACATAACATGAGGGGCATTTTTTTTTTTTTACAATATGTTTAATGACAAAAGTACATCATTATATTTTAAAGAGGCATTAAAGAGTCTAATGAACTGCAGCTCTCTTCTCTTCTGCTTGTTCTCGTAGTTCGTAGTTACTTTTTTCCCCTTATCTAGAGGTGCCATGGGTGTGAGTTGAGGTGCATGACGGTTGCTTCTGAATATCCACAAAATCCATCTTGAATATAACGTTTTGATTACTTGCGAGGTCGGGCCCATTTAATACAGTTTAGGTACCAGATTTGCTCGGGGCCCTGCCCTTTCTTATGTCATCATATGGCAACACTACTCGGACATCCGCCTAATAGCATGAAGTTACCTCAGTAACTTTACAAATAAAATGGCAGAAATAACTTTATAGCCAATTGGAAAGTTTTATTTTGGTGTTTCTAAAAAATCCTTAAAGATTAACAACATTCTTTTGTGAAGCCATTATGAAGGTATTACACAAAAAAAATCTAAGATTTGGTCTAATGAAATATCGCCTATGTCGTCTAGTTTGCCCGATATAATGACAGGCAGGATTGATAGTGGATTAGTTGTATATATCAGTTGTATAAGCTGCAACAGGTCATTGATGAAGAAACAGAATGCTTTTATACACCTTCATCGTGGAAAGTTGAGTTTAATTAAAATGAGAAAAAAAATGGTAGAAGAAGGTGAACAACCAGCAAAGGATGAGACACTAGAGGTAAAAAAGTCAGACACCCGGGCCTCTTTAATACCTCAGCAGTCTTCATTGAGGCAGTCATCCATCTACATCTCAACATTTCTGTATAATAGCTTTTTCTTTTGACCTATGCTCTCTACTATATATCAGCAAAGTGTCATCAGCAGAGCCATCTCAATGACATTTGTTATCAGTTTTTCATTTCAAGCAAACTGGATCATAATATTTGAAGGGCCTCTTTTTGATGGGGAATTACAAAAAAAGGCCAAACTGGAAAGTTTCCTTAAAGTTCTTGTACTGCTGTGCACCCTTTACTTTGCCTCTTTTCATGTCTCAGATTTTGTTTACTGTTTGTCTGTGCCTCCTGTGCTCCCTCCCCCAGGTCTATGACAGTGATTACCTTAACCACCAGCCAGGGTTTGTTAGCACCCCGTTGTTATCTAGTCTGTGCTCCGGCTGCGGCAGCGAGACAGTGGAGCTGGAAATGGTGCGGTGGCTGCCCACAGTAGGGCTAAGAATGGGCTTTCAGAAAGGGGAGCTCATTTGGCTATTGGCTGATGTTAATGTTGGGGAGAGTGCAGCTGTTGCTTTGATCTCTTCATTCTGGTTATAGAAAGGAGGTCTTCCCATTTTAACCTTTGTTTCCAAACACATACACATCTTCTTATGCAAAGCCACTGGTGTGGTCATTTGAAGGTAGAAATACAATTGGTTTATCAGTACAGCGCACTGTTTTGCTTCTGATGACAGCCTCCTTGTGGTAGGAGAGAATAGCTTGTTCTACCAATTTACTTATTGTTCTACAATTAGTTTCTTAAAGAATAACTTTTTTTTATCTCTGTTTCTTTCAGCTACAGGAAACTGTAAAAAGGAAACTGGACAGCGCACGATCACCCCTGAACGGGGACCAGAACGGCATCTGTGACGGCGGTAGCTACTCCCCAACAAGCAAACGGGTTATAAAGGAGCCCCCCGGGGGTTTTGACTCTCTGACAGGCCTCCCTAAGAACAATAATAATAACGTGCCACCAATTTCTCCTCTGCATAATCAACTGGACATTAAACCTTTACTCAGTGGACCCAACACGTCTACCGGCAACACTACAAATGGGAATGGCACCCATGCAGCCAGAGCCTCCGACGATTTGGGGAAGAACGGTGGCAGCCATCTTCCGGACATGAAGCTGAACAGCTCCCTGGACTTGGAGGATAGCTTTGGTCTCCTTAAAGACCTGAAACAGGAACCGCTAGACGACGGCGGAGGGATGGAGTCCAGTGAACCCCAGTCCCTGTCCAACCAGAACAAACTGTTCTCTGACATCAACCTCAACGACCAGGAGTGGCAGGAGCTGATTGACGAGCTGGCTAACACTGTGCCAGAGGATGACATGCACGACCTCTTCAACGAGGACTTCGAGGAAAAGAAAGAGGCAGAGTTCAGCAGGTCGGCAAACAGCCAGAACGAAGCCTCACAGGAAGCAGCTGGGAGCACAACGCCTGGGGTTGGGTCGACGTCGACGGCGTCCTTACCTCCTCCTCCACAGGGGGTCCCACAGGTTCCTATTGGTTCACCACAGGTCAGTATAAAAACCATCAACACGACAAGACAGCTTGCAGTGAATATTAGAAGTACTTGACCAACCAAAGCTTTTATTCATTCTGTCACTTCCTGCTACAAAGATTAGCATGTTCAAATGGTTCATTGTGACACACAAAAACAATATACAGTACCACATATTTTATAAAATTATTGGAAATGATTGGTTTTGAACTCTACAGAGATCAATCTGACATGCATAGAATTAATTTGGATTCAGTTCCCTTTAATATAAACCTTGCAATAAAAATAAGAATTTTAACCAATAATCATAAAAACCTACTTAATTTAAAAATAGGATATATAAAAAAATATATAATATATTTATAAAAGAAACATGTAAATCCATTGTAATTTAGTCTTTGGGACCTGTTTTGAACCATTGAGAATCCTGACCAGTTGTCTTTCAGTACGCACTGCTGACTGGCCAACCTAGATCACCTCTTTCCCATTTAGGCATTAGGCCCTGCAACTCTGAGGAGATGAGCATTTATTGATAAAGAAGTTAATGCTTTGTGTTGGTGAATTAAAATAAACCCACCAAAAACACTAGCTGCCATGGATACAGCCTGTCATTGATTTATAAAAAATACTCAAATTATGTCTTGACCTGAAATATGTTGGTCTAGTTTATTGTGTTTTTATTAGCAATACATAATTCAATTAAACGGATGTCACTGAGCTTTTTTATATAGAAAAAAACTCCTAACAGATTTTACTTGTTGGTTCTAATTTAAGATGCCTGCAAAAACAACCAAGCTTGCTGTACAGTTAGTATGAGGTCCTTTGTCCCTTGTATATTGGATTTGTTTAAAAAAAAATTTCAGCCTGATCATGTGCCGGGTAGTGTACAAGGGGTAATGAGGGGAACTCAGCCTCTCTAGACCACCTCCCAATCAGGAATTGTAAGGTCTGGAGAAAATCAAACATGTTTACAATCTAGTCGGCCATCGTAAGATTACATTAGAGTGTCGGGCAGAACTTTTAAAACCTGCGGTTTTGTCGTACATTGCACGCAGCTGCGTGCAATGATTGAAAATATTGCACAGTGTATGCCCGGCTTTAGCCTGCACATCTTTAACATGTCAATTTTTCATTTACATGCAAGCAGTGAGTCTGTAATTTGAATTTAAGACTTGTTTAATTATAGGTTAATTGTGAAAACACTTTGGTCAGATTGTTAAATTCTTCTAAATACTCAGTAGCTTATTGGGACTGCTGTAGTTTTTCTGTGGCTGTGGGGGTGTTCAGAGACTCACAGAAATGTTTTTGAAGGGACACGATCATACCAAACCCTTTCTAAGAACAAGGCTTGGAAAATGTTCCCATAAAACCAGAATTGAAATGTTTTAAGGCAAAGCTTATCAGTATATGACACTCCAGAACTGAACACCCTTCAAATAATTGTGGGTGTTTTGTTAAAAATGGCATGTTCAGATTTTATAGTTTTTTTATTGTCTTATTCTTAACCCTCAGGTGCGACCGTCATCATCTGGCCCCCAGTTTGCGACCACTGCCAATGGGACCCCTCCTCAACAACCGCTGCAACAGTCTCCGGCTGTTGCTATGCCATCAGGTTCACCCTTGCACAACTGTGTAGCTCGCTCCCCTCAGACTCCAACCCAGGCTCAGACTCAAGCAGTCTCCAGGCCTGGGAACGGATACATGATGAACCCAGGCCCGGTTAATCAGACGGGGTCAGGGGGTGGCACACCCGGGACTGGCCCTGGAGGTCAGCCTGTGGGTCCAGTTACTCCTGAACTTTCTCCAGCAGAGCAGCTAAAAGCAATGGCCCAGCAGCATCATCACGCTAAGATGATGCAGCAAAACCAAGCAGCTAGCTGGTCGCCTGGGGGTGCACCTACCAGTCCCTACAATTCTGGTCCCTTTAATCAAGACAAGCCCAACAGCCCCATGATGTACCCACCACAAGCCTTTAACACACCAAAGGGCCCTCTGGTGGCTGGGATGGCCCCTAACAATGGGCCCAAAGCCCCCATGAACAACTACCTCCCTCACAACCCCATGGGCATGATGGGACAGCAGCAGCCCAACAGCATAAACCAGAATGCTCTGTCCAAACAGTCACAACAACAGCAGCAGCAAACGGCCGCCATGTTGTCATATAGTAACACAAAACCGCTGAGTCACTTCAGCGGCAGCGGGGTGGACCACATGGGTCAGAGGATGACTCCGCCCATGGCCGGGAACAGTCAGGTGAAGAACCCCATGATGCCGTCCTACATGGGAGGCGCCGGAGGTGGTGGGCAGGGGCCCGGGCAGACGCAGGGCCCCATCCCCGGACAGACGGCCCACCTGGGGGAGGAGCACAAGAGGCTGCTGATGATGAAGCAGAAGGTGTTGAACCAGAACATGCCCTACAGCAACATGCAGGCCCATGGACAGGTAAGGCATCAACATTGTTGTTGTTTTTTTCTCTTATAGTGCAGCTGAAGATGCTGCTCATGTTTCTATCTTTAAGGTGGGCTAGGGTTGGAGGCTTTTCAGCACATTTCATGGTTCTTCAGGCCACCTACCCTACAAGTTTAGCATATATATATATTTGAGTGAAAAAAAAATGCTAAATGAAAATAGCTATTATTTTACTACAAGATGTCCCATGTTATTCCCAAAGGGATGTACAGCTTTCCCTTACTATAGGTTAAATTGATCTACTTAATTGTTCTCTGATTGGCTGCTGAAGTGTCTCTCTCCGTCTTGCAGCCTGAGTAAACCACACATATTTTAAAATGTTTATTTGAAATGGCTTCTCACATCTTTCACTTTCTTATGATGTCAATTTTTCAAGTGTTGTGAAAAATTGGCCAAAGCAGTACTTTATTTGCAAATGTTGGATTAATCTCTAAAACTGTAAACAAATTAACATAATTCAACAAAAGTCATGACATATCTGCATTAACATTTAGGGGATGGCAGCCTAGTGGTTAGGGAATAGGGCTTGCAAATCCTGAGGCTGTGAGTTTGAAACCCACTCCCACAGACTGCCTCTCTGGGTCTCTGACCTTTAACCTCCACTGCTCCCCGGGCGCCCGACGATTGCAGCCCACTGCTCCCCAAGGGGATGGGTTATGTGCAGAGGTAAATTTCTTCAATGTGAGATCAATAAAGTTCAATTATAATTATTATTTACATGAAAAAAAGTGAAAAGCCTGTTTTTTTGTTTTTGTTTTTTTTTTAGAAAATGACTAAAGTTTTTATTTAAAGCAAAGAGAATATTTGTGAATAGACTAGCTTTAGTTCTGACTTGACCTCAGAATGCCAGCTTTTACAGGTTTGGTAATGAAGATACGAGTGGCACTTTGCAGTTGGAAAATGCTTCAGATAGTTCTCTTACAAAAATCTCCCAGAGATGTAGCCAGGGAAGTCAAAATGGTGGCAGTTGCCCCAGCAACAAGCTAAAACTGGGAATAGGCATCGGAAAATGGCCTGTGGAGAGTATATTGATGCCTCTGCAACACTAGCAGTATCAGTAGCCCCCCTCCAACCCTAGCAGACGTCCTTCCTCCTTGTCCACACAAGCTTTCACACGCACACACCCAGCTAACGCCAAAGCTAAACGGCTCGGCGGCTCATATCCCCAATCTGTCACAGCTGACTGATGGCTGAGATTGGACCACTAAGCCAAGCTAGCTGCTGTCATTACCCAAAGCCCACCTCAGGCGGTTTGTTTCACAGCGCAGCCGCCTCTGAACGCTCCAGCGGTTCAACCAGGTGTCAGGTGGTCATAATGGCGCTCCCAACGAATGACAGTACAATGTGGGTGGACTCTACGTTTTTATTTTAAACGACAGTCAGTCTCTTTGTGTTTTTCTGCTGCCTAACATTATCCAAGAGCTGATGGTTTCCAACTCCTAATAGAAATATGGCAGATAATATCCGATGTACATAGCTCTATATCTTTCCTGTGTCTTATTCTGGCTTTCTTTTGAAGAGGAGATGGCTACAGTCACTGTCACCTCCTCTCCTCTCCTCTCCTCTCCTCTCCTCTCCTCAGACAGCTGTAGAGTCACTGCAGACAGAACGTCAGACTCCCTCAGTTATAGTCTTTTATCTGGTTGTGATTATGATCTGACATGACAGTC